AATTAAAAATACATAATATATTAATTACATGTACATAATTTGAATGACCTTGACCCACAATGCAAGGTGGATCACGGGACGTATGTACAGACCCTTCAATGACGAACATCCGTAAACATATTCCATAAAAAAATTTGATTGATGCTAGAATGTGACGAAAAATGTAGCAATTTTCTATTTAATTTATTATGGGTTTAGTTCAATTATATAAATTCAAATTTTTATTAACATCGAAAACTTGCAGCCACTATTAATGGTGTGCACATGATAAATCTCAAAGGGTTTTTTTTTTTTTTTTTATTGAATGCTATTTCAAAGAACCAATAACGCCTCCACTGAGACTCAAACTCACAATCTTCCAAATGAAAGTCCAACCCGGATACCATTAGACCACATAGTCTTGGTAACCCAGGTTATCTATAATTGATGGAGTTAAATAAAAAGGCTAATAGACCACTCCACTTAGAGTGAAACTTGTGTAATAATTAAATTCATGAGGAAATTTCAATTTTGGTCATATGACTATAGGGGTCTTGTTAATTTCAGTCCTTGACTTTTACAAGTGTCAATTTAGTACCTTAACTATGCAATTTTTGTTAATTTTGATCACTCCGGCCAAATTTCGTCGGAAAATTTTATTTGTTAAAATAATGAGGGTATTTTGATCATTTCACGTGTCTTTTCTTCTTCCCACGCAAGTCCATCCCTTCCTCTTCCGTTTCTGGTGAATGCAATGAACTAAGATGATGGAGAAAGGAGGCTTGATGATATTAAAGATAGGGTTTAGAGGGATAAAGAATGCCGAAAATGAGAGAGAAAGAGATGGACTCGCTGGGGAAGAAGAAAAGAGGCGTGAAATGACCAAAATACCCTCATTATTTTAACTATTAAAATTTTTTCGGCGAAATTTGGCCGAAGTAACTAAAATTGACAAAAATTGCATAGTTAAGCGGTACTAAATTGACACTTTTGAAAGTCAGGGACTGAAATTAATAAGACTTCTATAGTCATATGACCAAAATTGAAATTTCCTCTTAAATTCATTCTTGAGGAAAACTTTATCCAATGGAAAATGTTTTCCATCCAACCAAATAACATAAAACACCATTTTCCTTTAACTTTTAAAAAAACATTTTGAAAATATTTTCCAGCGAACCAAACACCCCAATAGTGTAAGCTATGATTAAAGCAATACTGAGTTATTTTAATTTAAGTTGTTAAATTATGGGTGTAACTGTTTCATTTCCATTATTCCATATTCATAGCTTCATTGAACAGTGCTGGTTTTTAGCTTGTTCAAGTCATCAATTAAAAAAGATGGGCAATGCCCTGTATCGATTCATGGAATAAGTAAAATAAAGTTAAAAGTAGTGGTATTTCACTTTCGCCTTTTAGCTCTCACTTATTCTACACCTCTCTTTTTGGACTCAAGACTTGCTCGCAGGCCGATCTAGGCGGAAGACATTGTCAGGTGAGAAATTTGGTTGGGACGACACATCTATTAAAAGATAACGTAAAGTGTCCTAAAATGAGCTCAAACAGAATATAAATCTCGTGAAAAGGGACACCGGAAAGGATAAGATCCTCATCGTGCTTGGATCTTGTCACACCACGAGGCGCTGTCTACGAGTCAAGTTGATTGAGAATGCAGCCCCGAAACACATTACAGATGCACCTTCCACTCCCAGTCCCAGTAGCTAATAAAACTTAGAAAAAGCGATGATAGGTAGGCAGACAGCTAGGTAGTAGCAGTGAGGGGGGTGGGGACAACGCACAGCAAAGCAAAGCAAAGGGATTTGCAATTTGGAATAGGCATTGGCGTGTTGTCAGAGCTGAGGGAAAAGAAATTTGATAATAGTCAGCACTCAGCACGCACACAGGACAGGAGAAGTGAGAATTGATATGAGTGGTCATTTCTTCAAGGAACTCATTTTCCTAGCTAGCTAGCCTGCAAAATCTGCAGTCTCTCACCCACGAGTGCATCATAAAAGTAATAATATAAGTGATGTAACAAGAAGCAAGGTTGATACACTTGCTATCATAGACGACCTGTCAGTCACAGTCCAGTCCAGGCAAGCTAATTACTTTGAGGTTAGGTCATTCTCCCCCCCTGCACCCAAACACAACACTTCTCATTAAAGTTTCTGTTCCATTCAACGTACACAGTAAAGTACACCCACCCTAGCTAGCTTCTTCACTCCACACTCCACAAAGTAGCAGTTTATAATATTGAAGAAGCTAAGCTAATTAAGCAGCAGTGGATGCATGCAGTGTATGTTCTGTTCACTTACTTAGAGCATCCACATTGGTTGGGAAGAATGGGGAGATAATGTAAGAGTGATTAGGAAAGAGAGTGTGGGAGAGGAGAGAAAAAAAAAAAAAAAAAGAAAAAACAAAACAAAAAAAAAATTAAAAAAAAAAAGAAAGTAGTCAGACGCGTCGACGCGCCTGACGCGCCTCCGGGCGCGTGCAGTGCACGCGCCCGGCTTTTGCCCAAGGCTGTGCGCGAACGCGCACAGCCTTGCTTCTTCTTCTTTCTCTTTTTTTTTTTTTTTTTTTTTTTTTTTTTTTTTTTTTTTTTTTTTTTTTTTTTCTGACAATCTCCCTACATTTGCAGGGAGATTATTTTTCAATTATCTCATGTCCACACTAGCTATTATCTCATGAAGAGAAGATTTAATTCTGAATTCTCCCCACAATATCCACAAGTGTGGATGGCCTTAGCTTGCATGCAGTCTTCCGCAATTCACATTCATCCATGCCTTTGGCCTTTGGGAGAGGCAAGCTGATCCAGATTAGAATATATGGGCATAATTATGCAGGGTAGTGGAGGGGTGAGGACTCATCTGAGGATACACACATAAATAAATCTTTCAAGTGGGCTTAAATATTGAAATTCAGTTCTTAAGTGAACAAAATTTCATCCACATTCTTTAAACGGATATAAATATATAATAATTTAGCGTGTGTTTGGTTCAAACATTAGAATAGAATGTTAATGAGAATCAAATGTTTGGTAATGCTGATGTGTTGAAGTAGAATGTGTCACTTTGTTGGTACTCTACAAAAATTTTCCTCCAATCTTCCCCTCCTTATATGACTTCTTCAAAATGTTTTCGGGAAAAAATAAGTCATTTTTCACAAAATATTTTTATTTCCCGTGTTTGGTTGTATTCCAAAAAATTGTTTTGGTGTGTTTGGTTCATTTTCTGAAAATGAACATAATTCTTTTTAATTTTAAATATTTAAAATATACAATGATGGTGGTGGTGGTGGTGGTGGCGAAAGATTGATTACTCCACTGCAAACGGAAAATAACTTCTCCCAAAAAAGGAAGTCATTCTCGAAAAAATCACCTCTATTTTCCATTGACCACTCCCTTATTTCCATTGACTTTCATTTTTCCCTCTAGTCAAACACTAAAAATTTAGAAAATTAAATTTTCAAACGCACCCTAAAGTTTAATATACTACTTTTATTAAAATTTGATTTTTATAAATAATATAATTAGAATTTATGATTGAAATGATAAAATTTTTTTAATTACTCTAATCACATTGCTCAAACGATCAGGACTATGTGGTCTAATGATACCCGAATTAGACTTTCATTTGGAAGATTGGAAGATTGTGAGTTCAAGCTTCAGTGGAGGCGTTATTGGTTCTTTGTAATAGAGTCAGTAGCTTTCAAAAAAAAAAACATTGCTCAAACGACTTTTTAAAAATCACTCTTTTTTGGGAATAAAATCGCTTTTACTATTGTCCAAAATCACTTTAAAAAAGTAAGAAAAGTATTCATCATTCAAACCTATGAAGCAGGGATTGCACGTAATTTCAACAGCGGCTGACACCCTATCACTCTCTGATTCCATATGTTGTCTGCTCCATAGGGATTTGTGATATCCAAATCCCTTCACTCCTAAATCCATCTCGTGTGGCCAAAACCCCAACAGGCCAACACCAATAATAATAATAATAATAATAATAATAATAATAATAATAATAATAATGTTATTCTCAAATACTCCGTAATATTTCTTTTATAAAAAAAAAAAAAAAAATACTCCGTAATATGTAGTATGTACATGTACTTTTAATAAGTATGGTATGTTTTTACTTTCTAGATACCTTATTTTAATATATTCTAAATAAAAGAATGTTAAATAATCAAAACATTTTTATTGGTCAAAGAATGATTTACATTTTCTTAACATTATGAAGCTAGTGGACTAATCCGATAAAAATTAAAAAATTCTAAGGTTAAAGCTAAAATATTTTAACCAATAAGTCTAAAATCAATAAGTTCAATGGCCCAAATGAACTAGTCCAAAAATTAGTGAGATAGCCTAATATCACTACTTACGAGTATTCTTTTATTACATAAGTGATGTGGAATAAAATATACATGAAATTTATATACAATATTTTTATTAAATTTGTAAATAAAATTTTAACAATATATTAATAAATTTATCACAAAATAAAACATTTTTACGAAAATAAATAATAAAAATAAAAGAACTTACCTAAATATTATACTATAGAGTAAGTATACTAATTACTCCTCTTAAATCACATAATATTGGTTTAGATTCCTTTTTTCCCTAAATATATGTGTCATTTCATTGCTATGAAGAGGCACTGCTACGGATAAGAAGAGAATAGACTCTATCTCTGAGTTATGATTTTTTTCAAAAAAGTAAAAAATAAAAATATAAGTCAATGAGAGATCATCATCAATGAACATAAAGGCTCTATTGGTCATCTTCTAGGTTTCCAAATATCACATTAATGACTGGCCTTTTTTCCTTTCAGATCTGTTGAATCATCCTTAGTACAAACTATATTTTCCTTATTGAAAAGCAAAAACCAACAAGTACTAATTACTAAAGCGTATACAAGTGTCATTCAAACAAAATGGCAGTAAATACAACACTACAAGTAATATTCTCACCATCTTTCTTCCAACCATCACTCAGAAACAACCTTATAACTAAAACATTGTTAAGATTTGAAAATATATATATGCAATTATAGTCACAAACGTACACATAATGTGAATATGATCTACATTAAAAATTACTCCGTACTTTTTTTAAAGGGGTGGGGACCAACTGGATTTGTAGTAAAGAAGGGATTTATGCACATTCCTGCAAAGCTGAATCAATGAATGCCATCTAAAGAAAGCTACTTCACCTGAGCATATAAAGTTGTAAAAAAAAAAAATTGGTTTGCTCATTGGAATGAATTTTGATTGTGATTCGTAAGTAATGCCATCTTTCGGGCTTTTTTAGTATTACTATATCTCCGTTATAGCTCCAATTACTGTGATTGACCTTTCAAATATTCATCGTTTACGTACTGGCTGAACCACCATGTCGCTGCATTGCTGCAACCAGCTCGCCACACCTTGGGCACCGGAATGATGGAGCTGCAGAGCACCGAGTTTGAAGACAGTAGTAACAAAACCTGCCAATGATGAAATTCCATTAATTTACCGTTATATCTTCAAAAATGATAAATTGAAATGTGAATCTAGTAGTGAGACTAGTAACTTCTATGCGACTGCTGCCATGCTATGACGAATGTCAATGACAATAAACAATTTAGTTAAACAACCTAAAACACATTGAGATCCTTATTCCTTGCAAATAACAAGAAATGTTAGTTCTACATCCAAACTTTCTCTAAGAAATATATGACACATAATTCATTTTCTTAGAGACATCTCATCAGAGGTGGATTGAACTCAAATCAAAGAATTGCCCACTAATGTTTTCCATTCTAGCAAGGCTTTGCTTTAACCAATTACCAACGAGTGCACTGAAAAAGTATATCTTCACAATCCAAAATTGTTCGAAATTATAAACATAGTTAATACCCAATGCTATTGAGACAGTTACATAAAGATGCAAAGCTGACATGAAATAGTATAATTGTATACCTATGCTGACAAGGGATGGCTAAAAAAGGAAGCGTGGGAATCGCTTGACAGATGGGACACAAGGTTTCATCAGTTGCAGAATTTGAGGATTTGTCCTTTGAGAATGGACGAAGAATGTTTTTTATGGATGATGAGTTGAGCAGGGGAAGAAGCAGTAGCAGCATTTCCTGCATATAAAAAGTAGACTTCAGAATAGATGAAACCCCAGAGAAGAAAAATGCTTTAAGAAAGCCAGTTCCATCACAAACTACTATTAGATAAAAAGTAATTATTTTTACTCCCATGTAATGGAAAAATTTCCCATCAACAATTAGTCATTTGCTTCAGGGAGGACAAGGACATAAAATTTTACTTGTTCAGGCAAACTCCTAACAAAGCTGAGAGGAGAATTACCGAGAATTCATTCCACACCAACTGACGATTCATGTACTCAAAGCTTACAGCTCGATTCATGTTAGGGCTTCCATAAACAAGCCTTGCTCTCAAAGCTCTCTCAATAAGACTCCTATACCTGCACAAAGTTGATCATTTGAGCGAAAACCCATAATAGTTGCAAGCTGTGCAAATGCTACAGCCATGCTTCTAGTCCAATACAGAAGTAAATTATGCACAACAGATTAAAAATGAACATCTACACAAAAAGAAGTCAATTGTACTCAACAAATCACAAATGAACCCCTACTTTATAGGTGGAGGTTGCCCAATCAGTTTGTTTTAAGGCAACTTGATGCAACCAAAAGGAGTAAAAAGGCCAAAACATTGCATTTCAATAGTCTACCTTCCAGTGTAAAGGAATAGGAGGAGGTTGCTGAAAGATGCTGCCTTATAAATTCCTTCTACACGTTGTATTAACAGCCAAACCCAGCGTGCTAAAGATCTCTGCAGAAGGAACAGAAAGTAGAACACTTAGTAAGCATGCTCTAAATCAATTTTCTCAATTACATTGGTTTTGTCATTACTTTCAGACAATAAACTTGAATATAGCCATCAATTAGACCACTTCAGCAAGCGGACTGGACAGAAATCAAAGCATGGTCATATACAACATCAGCAAATTGAATAACCCAGAATCTGCTCCAGAGGACAAAGGCAAAAGGATTCTGAAAACTTTGCTGGTCCAAAACCACTTTTATGAAGATTCTTGTCCTTATGCTATGGTAGTTTAGTGCTCCATGTTAGGTTGTAGTGTTGTACCAAAGGGTTTTAATCCATTAACCTTATCTTTCATTTTTCAAACCCACACATGTAGAGCATGTTGATATTTTTGCCTTTTGCAATGCTGAACCCACTAAGACCAGGTTCTTTTTGAAATACACTAGTGTATCTTTAAAAACAGAAAACATTTAGCAAAAAAAGGAATGTAATACCTGCTCAGAGTCACCCCATCTCCGGAAAGCAGAAAAAGATTGTAATCTGGCCCAGAAATATTGACCACCAACAGTTGCAATACAGTACAAGATCTTCTGAGCAACAGTAAGCCCAGGTCCCTCTAATCCTGTTCGGACTAAATGGTGAAATAGGGGAGGGGTGAAGTTATTACCTTTCAGGACCGAAAAGGATACTAAACTGAGAATCAGGGATGGGACAATAATTAACTGGAATTAGGGTTAAAGCATGATAATAGAGTTTTATGGATTTGTTTATGAGAAGTCATGGAAATGGACAGCTTTATGCATCTCAAGTCACATATCTGCGCAACAGAAGATAAAGCCTTCATCTCCAACAGGGAAAGTAAGTTAAAATTTTCAGGAGAGGTTACCAGAATTATGCTTAACTGGAGGAGGTCAATGTTATCTATACACTAAAGGATCTTTACAGTACAAAGCAGGAATTCATTTGCAATTACAATAATTTATTTTACCTAAAGTCAAAATTGGCAGTTAGCTAAGCTATGTTTGGCCCACTCAAACAGGATCAAGCAGAGAAAGCTAGGAGGTTATTACCTTTTCCTCGCATCTCAATTGCACGTTCATCTCTATACCGCAAATTCATTAGAGCATTGCCTGGAGTTGGCTTATCAACCCAGATAGAAAACCGCCAAATGAGAAACTCGAGGAAAGCATCAAGTTCTGGCTCATATTGAAATAACATTCCTGGCTAATGTCAACGAAAGAACAAAAAAAAAGAGAAATTAATTAAATGCCTACCAAAGCTGTCTCACATTCCTTATTAGTTAATAGACATGATTATTCATCCAACCAAATAAGAGGAATCATATATACACTACCTTCATCAAAGAAAAGATCTTAACCAACTGTTCTTTTAACATAGCTGACATTTCAATGTCCAGTCTGCCTGCATCAATCTGATTTACTCTAGATATTGCAATTGGTATAGCTGACTGCCAAGTGTAAAAAATCAAAAAGAAATTATCACCAATAACTATAAACTGAAGCAATGCAGAGAAAAGACTCTAAACCACCACCAAAACCGTGCCCCTACAAACGAAAATATTTCTGAAAAGCTTCCTTACTTCGTAAATAAAAACATATAAATATAAAGTTCAAAATCACCAAGAATTACAAGAGATATAAGGTAATTCAGTAGGTTATCATGTTAATTCGGTTGGAGGATGAGGAGATTTCTCTGATATCATTTGACCGCATTGTGATTGGTGCAATTTAGGTATGGAAATTAGCAAGCAAAAGCACAATTTCTCCGTGACATTTTCCCTACCTTTTTGTTGCATTTAACCAAAGGAATAGTATACTCCGTATATGAGAACAAAACTTAGTTCATAATTACTTGCTTTTTCGGTAATAATCGGGGCGGGCAGAAACAACTATATCTTATTTTTCGCGTCTAATAATCTTAATTACTTGAATAGAGCAAAAAACAACAAAAGAAGTAATGGAAGAAACGGGCGAATAGCGGGAGAACCTGGTGAGATGCAGTGAGAGATTGCCAGCGAGGGATCAATTTCTGGTAGGTATTAATCCAAGCATCTTCCGGTGGCGGCGGATTGATAGAGGTGGCAGGGCTACCACTTGGGGAAGATGATGACGATGAAGCTAGGGTTTCTCTAACCATGTCTGGTGTGTCTTATTTTAGCATAGAATGGAAGAAAGAGAGCTGCAATAGCTTCATCTGCTACGGTGGAGAATCTGTTGATTCCCAGAGGTCACAGCACACAAGTTTTGTTGGTGTGGACTGCGTTCTTCTGTGGTCTTTTTCCATGAAATTTACTGTCGCCCAAACTTTTTGGTGTTTTTCACGATGCTTCGTAGTTCGTACTATTTCTTTTTTTTTTTTTTTCTTAAATTCACTGGGGATAAAAATCATTGAAGTTGTCGAACTTTTACTTGCGGCGTTACGGACGTCAGAAACAAAATCTAAATACTAAACGTCGACAGCAGGATTCGAACCTGCGCAGGCAAAGCCCAACAGATTTCGAGTCTGTCTCCTTAACCACTCGGACATATCGACGCTTACGGTGAAAGTCAATCATTATGTTATATATATTATACCGGAAGTTGTCAAACTTTCACTTAAGGAGTTACGGCCATCAAGAATAAAATATTAAACGTCGACAGCAGGATTCGAACCTGCGCAGGCAAAGCCCAACAGATTTCGAGTCTGTCTCCTTAACCACTCGGACATATCGACGCTTGTGTTAAAATCCAATCATTATAATATATATATATATATATCTATACTAAAAGAGATGCTTTTTTTTTTTTTTTTTTTTTTTTGAAAACAAAAGAGAGGAGTTTTAAGAATCTTTTACTAGGAATTATTTTAAGTATTAATCTTTGAGTATAGCGAATTTCATTTCAGTTTTAATTTTGAAATTTTTTATTTTATAATTTCTTCTAAATTTAATCGGATCATTAGGGTGGACTAGATTCTAATATTCTAGCTTACGAAGCACCACCAAAATTTTGGCATGTAGGCTGGGGCAAGCTGGCCCCCCTTGACACCCCTAAACTTTGGTGAGTTTTCGTAGGCTATCAAGAATCGAAGTAGTAAAATAATTATGGCAATGAAGTAGGGGATTTAGCAGGGGAGGGGTGGGCCGGGGGTGTTTGTGGTGTCTTTAGTAGACTTTGCCAAACTCATTGATCAAGCTCTAAGAGTCAAGGGATCGAAGCATTTGCACAAAATTTTCAAAATTCATTAACAAAATATATATATATATATATATATATATATATATATATATATATATATATATATATATATATATATATATATATATATACACACATACATACATATATGCAACTCTTTCAAACAAAAGGTCAGTCATCCTTTCCTCCTTCACTGTCTTAGTTAGCATCACATAACGTTTGATGTGATCTAACCCTACTCACTTAATTCACTCCTTTTGTAATTGAATATGAGAGCTAGGAGATCACTAGTTAGGAGTGGTGATGAGGTACTCATCTCCCATGATACTAAACTCATCAAGAATTTTAGAGATATATATCTTCGATTGTTTGTGATTGTGTGCATAATTCCTCTTGATTTGAGCTCGAAGGTCCCCTAGGTTCCTTGCTAAATGTGACTTATGGTTTTGTTGGGGACATAGTGTGAGTCCATTTTCCTTTGGTTTCATTGCATGATCTAGTCAACACAACTTTGTGTTGTGGCATTATATTGAGTAGAAAGTGGATAGCATGCATTTCGTCATGGATGGTACAAATGACGCCACTAATGAGCTTTAGTCAACCCTACGTGCTAATTGGTTAAACGCAGTTAGTTTGCTTAGACCACAATTTTATTGTCTTTATTTTTTTTGTTTTTAATCAAAGGTTGTTGGAGAACTTGTGATATTGCATGTACCGAAAGATCGAAAACCTCTTTTAGGTTGCTTAGATATAGTTAATGAGTTAATACCCAAAATCGTCCTCGACTATATTAGTTTTTCTCAATTTTGTCCTAAACGACTTTGGTGACCTAATATCGTCATAGACTTTTGTGTTTCGCTCAATTTAGTCCCAGACTGTTGTGTTTTTGCTCAATTTAGTCCCTCATTTGTTGTTCTGTCTATTTGGTGTTAAATAAATAGACAATTCAGTAATTTTAATATTGGCATCTCTTTACTCATAGACATGTGAACTGCGAAATCTTTTTTTTTTACGAATTACTCCCAGAATTACTCCTAAAACTGCGAATATAAAATTTGATTTGCAGGTCCGGGAGTAATTCGTACAAGAAAGAGGAATTTCGCACTTCACAAGTTGAAAGTAAAGAGAGATCAATATTGACATTACTGAATTGTCCCTTTATTTAACACCAATTTGACGGAATAACAAATGGAGGACTAAATTGAGCGAAACACAAAAGTCTGGGACGATATTAGGTCACCAAAGTCGTTTAGGATGAAATTGAGAAAAATCACTATAGTCGAGGACGATTTTGGGTATTAACTCTATAGTTAATAGTTGTCAATGATCTTATCGTCTAGTGGTAATGAAATGGCTCTCCCAAATGGAAGGTTGAGGTTCTTCTTGAACCTTTTCCTCTTCTTATTAGCTTAAGTTGAGCCGTGTTAGACCAACCATATCCCCAATATTCCACACTATCGATTTTAATTTGTTGAAATTATAATTTCTAACATCAATTTTGTTGAGTCTGTCTCATATATGGATTAGGAATAAGTGTTTGTCTAATACTAGGAGTAGGAGTGAAACGGGTAAACCTATTGTATAGGGATTGGATGTCTATAAATATATTGGTTGTATCCCTAAAGGGGTGTGTCACCACCATTACCATCACAAATAATAAAAGTATTGTTTCACTCCCGTGGATATAGGCACTTTGCCGAACCACGTAAATCTTGTCTTCTTTACCCTTTACTTTCAGCCATTATTATTGTTTCTTGTTCTTGTAATCTCAACAAATTTATACTCTCTTCTCAAGCATATTCCATCTCTCTTTTACTCCTCATTACACAAAGACTACAAATTAATAATTTTGATTATGTTATACAACTCAAGTTTTATTTTTGTGATTTTAGAATATATATATATATATATATATATATATATATATATATATATATATATATATATATATATATATATATATACACACACACACACACACACGATCAAATTAATTAAATGTTGGAAAAATCACTTCTGCACATTAATATATGATGGTCCATGACTTATGAATATTGTAGGCTAGGCTTTTGGGCACAACAATAATTATCAAGAGGCCGGACTTTATCAAAGTTGTGGGCAATTAGCCAATGATACAATTAATGTAACAATCACTACAAGCTAGATTGTGAAGACATATACACATGTTATCACTTTTGAATTGAAGTTGATATTATTACATATTTATACACTTGTTTAAAATTATGCTATTCATACATGCATTTTATAAACTTAAAATTCATACTTTAAAAACTTGAAGCTTATAATTTTAAATTTTTCATTAAAATTAAAATTAATTAATACAACTTATAAAATCATTTTTAGATTTCAAACTTCTTTAAAAATAATAATAACAAAAGTAATTTGACTTAGAGTAATAGCAGCTTTTCATTGGATGATTTATTAGTTTTAATTTTGATAATAATTAAGTTAGTGAAGTTGATCAACCAATTCATAATACTCTATGATTATAAGTCATGTCATGAATGATTTTAGGATTTCTTTTGAGTTAAAGCTGACTTTGGCTCAAATTATATAAAATAGTGAGTCAACACTATCCGTGCATGTACAATACTATAACCAATTAAATTTATGAGTTTAGGTCACATATTACCTTCTCTGGTACAAGTGAGAAGTTATGATTCATGAAGCGTTAGACACGCTCACGTAGAGCCACCCTCTTTGGAAATTCTAAGGACCATATTGAGTTAATGATAGATTAATGAGGTGGGCATGCAGTACAGTAATGGCTAAGTTCGAATTTGGACAGGGTAGCCCCATAACCTTTAGTAGCTACATACTAATTAAACGTGAAATTAAATAAACGGAGTATACAACGATCCATGTCTGACCTCATTTATTGATTTTCTTTTATACACAAATATTCGAGTGGGAGGAAAATCAAGAAATTAAAATAAGAACACCATTAATAATATCGACCACAATTTATATAGTAAAAATTAGCTCAAACATTACCGTGGTATTGGACTATTATATTGGTAATTCGTCTACCAACAATCCAATCCAATAGTGCACATAGGCCAAATCTATTTAAGGGTTTGTTTGAAAATCTAAAAAATGTTTTTTTTTTTTTCTGAAAATGATTTTAAGAATATGACTCATTTTTTAGAAATTATTTAAATTTTTTGGTGTTTGGTTGAAAGTCATAAAACTATTTTTATTTTGTTTTATTGGAAGTTAAAATTGCATTTTTTCTGTTTAGTTCTATTTAAAAAAAATTGGATATATTATTTGTCATAATAAAGTAGTATTAGTAGTTGTGGTAGTGGTAATGGTAATAATAATGCGAAAATTACCTTGAAGAGAGATAGGGAAAAGAGATAGACTGATCAGAAAAATAAATAATCTGAACAATATCTTCGGACTAAAAATGACAAAAAAATTTTTTTTTGCCAAATTGAACATTTTTCGTTAACCAAAATGAATATTTTTCTTTGACTTTATTTTCTTTGAATACCAAGACATGGAAAAACCTGAAAAATAAATAAATTTTTAAATTTCTAACTGAACATTAAAAGATTTAGTCCAATCAATAAGTTAGTCAAACCTATTAATTTTTTCTTTCTAATATTGGATTCTTAATATTGTGGAAAACCGGTTTGGTTGAGGGACTTGAACACAATCTTAAATTTCAACACAAATACACCTTTCATAATTAAATTTAATCAGTGGGCAAACACCAAATAATCTCTAAGAGTAAGTCAATTTTTTATTTTATTTTTTAACAAAGTTAAAACTTCTTGGGTTAAAAGTTAAAATCCACCAACAACTTAACATTAATGAAATCTCTATCATTATCGTTCACTTTACTGCGGCTAGTAAGACTCCATTTCGTTCCAAATTTTATTTATATGATCAACTTAACTGGCCAAATAAAGCTCAATAATTAATAGAGTAAGCATTTGTAAAGTGGGTGGAAAGTGGACATATGGAATATGGCATGCTTTCGCTTTTCTTCATCAAAATCTTTGTTCCCTGCAGTCTAATGCCAACTAATTCCAATAATTAATAGAGTATTTGTAAACTGGGTGGAAAGTGGACTATTTTATATATGGGCATTTAAACACACCATTATATCGTCTTCATTCCATTTCTTGAATTTCCAGATTTCCAGCTAGTTGAGAAGTAGTAGAAAGATGGCTACATTAAACTCATCATCACAACCTCCAAACTCTCCTTCTCCAACGCCATCTTTCACACTCAGAACCGCCGCCGCCGCCTCCCACCCATACGACGACACCTTTCTAAGGAGCATCTCCACCAAAGACGCCGCCGGTACCAATAATTTCTCCGGCGAGCTTACTCTCCCACCCCGCTCCCAAACATTCACCTCCCAGCCCTCCTCCCCCGCCCGCCTCTCCTTCGCTACCTCTCCGGCCAACAAGCTGCAGGATCTCTCCCTCAACACCACCTACAGATGCATCTCCTCCGTCCTCAAAAAGGACGGCCAGATCTTGTCCATCGCCGTCGCCAACGGCTTCGTCTACACCGGCTCCCAGACCAACGTCATCCGCGTCTGGAAGCTCCCGGAGTTCACCGAATGCGACCAACTCAAGACCAGGGCCACCATGGTCGTCGCCCTGCAGGTCTCCAACGACAAGGTTTTCGCCGCCTACTCCGACTGCAAGATTAGGGTTTGGCACCGGAGCTGGGAAGGCGTCATCAAGCACGTCCGGGTCGCTACCATCCCCAAGGCCGGAAGTTACGTCCGGAGCTACATCTCCGGCAAAGACAAGATGGTGAACACAATAATAAATTTTTTACTCTCTTAATTGGCATGCATTTATAGCTCTACCTTTATTGTGCATTTCCATTTTCAGCTGCCGTGAAGCTAACAATTTAAACTCCTAATAACTTCACTTAATTGCATGCACCTAATATTATTAATATTGTCTGATTCTATATTGGCCGTCCAGTATTGGATTATTATTACGTAGCTTTAAACGTGGAAACATGCACTTCCTTCTTCTCCTACCTCTTTTGTTTTTATCATTTTTTGGGCATTAAAATTGCTTTCAGATGAATAAATGCTGAAGCTATACATGCAGTTTTGCATTTAATGTATATTCAGAAATATAGATAAGAAAATTTATATTATACCGATCTATATAAATTAAGTTGAGTGTGGTATAGAAGCATGAAGTGGCTCTCCCAAATAGAAGGTCATGGTCGGGGATTTAAGCCCCTCTTTATGCATCGGTAGGACTGAGGCGGTATTGATTCTTTGTGCTTCAATAAGTAGAGAAAGTAGCTATAAACAGATACTTAGTATACTACATTGTAACAGAATAATAGTACCAAAAAAAAAAAGTTGAATTGGTTAATTAGGTATGATATTTACTATTTATGGACGGAAAGGAAAATTATATTATTATATTAATGGTTTGATTGATAAAATAAAATGAAAATGAGCAGATGAAGCATATGGGACCAATATCATCGGTGGCGATTAACGTATCGGACGACATTCTATACTCTGCTTCGCTAGATAAGACGGTGAAAGTGTGGCGGATTTCCGATGTGAAGTGTATAGAGACCATTCAGGCGCATAACGAGCCGGTGAACGCCGTGGTGGTGGCGGACGACGGGGTTCTCTACACGGCTTCGGACGACGCGACGGTGCGGGTGTGGCGGCGCAACTTCTGCAGCGGGGACAGGCCGCATTCCCTCACGGTGACGCTGCCGGCGAAGTACTCGCCGGTGAAGACGCTGGCGCTGTCGTCGGGGGAGGGGGCGGTGCTGTACGGCGGGTGCAGCGACGGGTACGTGCATTACTGGCTCAAAGGGTGGTTCTCCGGGCAGTTGCAGTACGGCGGGGCGCTGCCGGGGCACACGCACGCGGTGATGTGCATAACGAGCGTGGGGGATTACGTGGTGAGTGGGTCGGCGGACGCGACGAGCAGGGTGTGGGTGAGGGAGCAAGACGGGCAGCATTCTTGCTTGGCGGTGTTGCAGGGTCACAGGGGTCCTGTCAGGTGTATCGCGGCGTTTCCGGCGGGGGCGCGGGCCGCCGGCGAGGAGAGCGATCAGGATGGATACACGGTGTGTACGGGGAGTCTCGACGGGGTGCTCAAGATGTGGCGTGTAAAGTGCGTCAGCAACACCGCCAAAGTCTCGTCCCAGAATTGCGACTATTTTGATCTCACTTAGAACAAACCCCATCTACAGTAGTAGTCTGCAGCTTCTTAGAATATAGAAATTATGTAAACAGTAGACATCCTTATATAAGTCACTTTTTATTAATTTAACTATTACTCACCATCTCATTATTTTATTATTCTTTATTAAAGCATTAATTAAGCATGCATGATTAAGTCCATAAATTCACAAAACAATAGCATTTTTTTTATGGAAGAATGCTATTCGTTTGATTTTCAAAAAATAAAAACAAAAACGTGTGCAAAAGGCTGAACGTACGTACGTAACCTGAATGTATAGTAGCAGAAATGCCAGAATCAAGTCAGTCAACCGCTTCACTACCTTGTGTTCAAACGATCAAATTTGGAGCTGAGCGTAGATTTATTTATTACTCCTTGTGTCATATTTTATTTGTCTTACTTATGTTCGTTGGTCAAATTAACTCTTTCTTTTTTTATTTATTTTAATATATTTTTACTGATTTTTAAATTTAATTTTTATGTTTAATAATACTTTTAGTATAATTTTTAAATATATAAATTTTATATATTAATACTAAACTGAAAAATTAAATTAAAAATAATTTTAGTCAAACCTGGTTAATCAAATCAGACATTATTTTCCAGATGTCTGGTCTTTGGAGTGATATGATGGATGTACCTACCCATCTCAAAAGTATTAATAACTGAAGAGAACAGGAAAATTTCTTAAAATATGGGGCCCATGCATTCCCCTTGATGTAAAACATTATATTTTTGGGATTTAATGGCGCTAAGCTAGTTAGCTCCTCTTGTAGTTATCTCCATCGTGATTGGCCAACCAATTGCAAAAATAGCCTATCCACACATGTACCTAAGCTAGCTAGAAATGGAGACCCACAACGTCCGTTTCGGATAAAGAATGAAGTCTCAAGCCATTGCTTCACCAAACTCAGGTCAACTTTTATATTAGAAATTTTTGTTTTCAACTAACTTTTTTTTTTTGGTTTGGTGGAGAGGAGAACTCTTAGACTATCTCCCAAGAAGGTGGCACATCTCCATTTAGGCAAAAAATTAACACGATTGGTTTTCGTAGTCTTAATTTTCTTTTTGATATGATAAACAATGATAATAAACTCACAAATATATTAAGTCATTAGCATGTCTATCAATTTATTACTATAAGTCCATCAAATCATTTATGTATGTTTTGGTCCACCTCACAATTACTGAGACGATATATTGAAAAATTATCAATATAAATATTACTTAAAACTTTTCAATTAGATATTTTTAACAATATATATTTTATACATTTCTTATATATATATATATATATATATATATATATATATATATATATATAATAGAATAATATGTGTACGTAATTGATGATTGGTCAATTGATATCATTTTGATGAATATGCAATATTATTTTAATCTGCCTACACTCATCTTTAATCTACCTGAATTTGTGATAAACTTACAATATATTATTTTAATAGACATAGATCTATATTACAACATAAACGCAAGTCCATGATATAATTTACCTTGATTTACATGCCTGATTTCAAAAACATAAATAACTGAAGTCAATCGGAGAATATAGGGCTGATTTCCTTCATTTAAGACTTTTATGGGCTTTAGTGGAGGGGCTAGTTAGCCCACCTTGTTTCATCACGCAAATTATGCTGACTGAAAACGTGTTCACCATGCGCATGGTGAACACACAATCGTTATGCTGTGCATCCGTATGCACCATGCAGATGTCAAAATGATGTCGTTTTATTAAAAAATGCGCGTCTCCCTTTAAAAAAAAATTCAGGTTCGATTCCCAACAACAACATTATATTGTTCATTCATTCTGGAATTTTAGTTCATAGATTATGGAATTATAGTTCATTGATTATGGAATTATAGTTCATCGATTATGGAATTGTAGTTCATCGATTCTGAAATTTTAGTTTATAGATTATGGAATTTTAGTTCATTCATTCTGGAATTTTTAGTTCATAGATTAGATTATGGAAATATAGTTCATCGATTATGGAAATATAGTTCATCGATTATGGAATAATTTTAGTTCATATGTTGTTGCTGGGAATCGAACCTGATTTTTTTTTTTTTAAGGGAGACGCGCGTTTTATTAAAACGACGTCGTTTTTGCATCCGTATGCACCATGCATGGTGCATACGGATGCACAGCATAATTTGCCGTGAACACAAGGGTAGATCTATAATTTCTATGTTATAAATTCATAATTTTGTTTTTCATTTGCTGTTAACGACGTTTCTCTCTTCACAATCGCATTATTTTGTCTTCGCAATACAAATATTATGAATCTATAGTACAGAAATTATGAATCTACAATATAGAAATTATGAATCTACAGCTTAGAAATTATAGATCTATCCCGTGTTCACCATACGCATGGTGAACACGATTTCAGAGCATAACTATTGGTTTCATCAAGGCAAATTATATTGTGGACCGCAGTCCCCAATGCGTTATGCACTGCAGTTTCATTTCAACACAATTACAGTATCATTTTAATATAACTACAATTTTACTGAATGATATGCATTCAAATATGTAAAATTGTTATTTAGTTTCATTTTGTATACACTGTAATTTCATTTCAACACAACTACAATTTCTTCACTTCAATAAGCATATAGCCATATATATTATTCATAAAATTGACCTTAATTTATTGCAGATACAGTAACAAGTGTGGCTTAATTATTACACCTGCGTCATTTAAAGCCACGTAACTCCTTCATTTTATTCGTTATTGGTATAGGTGTCAAATAGTTCCATCTATCACTCGCAAATGTTTAATTAACTTTTTGTTTTAAAATAAGATCTAAATAGTCATATTTACTTTTAAAATTGTATTCATTTAACATTTTATGTAAGTTTTCAAAAAAAAAACATTTTCATTTTATGTAAGTTTCCATCAGAGCCTTCCATAATGTTGACATTGAATTTAAATAAAAATAATTTACAATCCTACTAAAACACAAAGAACCAATAACGCCCTCACTGAGGCCCTCAAACTCACAACTTTTAAAATAGAAGTCCAACCAAAATACCACTATACTACATAGTCTTAGTGCTCTTGACAATTGATATTTTCCTTCTTCTTCCATTTTCCCTTTCTCTTTCATGTTTGGCTTCTAAAAAATTGTGAAAAAAAACAAATTGATCTGGATGCTCTTCAAAATAGAATTTAACTACCAATGAAATGTGGTCACATCACGAGGGATGAATTGGAGGAAAAAATATTAGGGGTCTCTAGCATTAGAGTATCTACACCAAAACATTTTTTGTGGTTTTTGAAATAGTAAAAACCAAGTATGTAGTTTTTGCACAAATGGGAGATGATATTTTTTGGTGTATTTTTCTCCTGCAAATCCAAAATTTTTGCGGGGTTCACTGATTGAGAAATGAAAACAAAGCATAATGCTTTTCTTCGCGTGTTGTTGGAGACGCAGGCGCACAGCTGGATGCATGAACGAACTTTGTTCTTTTTTTTTTGTTTTTCCTTTTCTTCCTCTTTCCTCTACACCCTCTTCTCTCATAATTGACACATCAAAAATCGTGTAAAATGCATAGCTTATTAGGATGCTACTACTCAAAAAAAAAAAATTGTGTAGAATGGAATATTGTTAGGTCCTTGTGCATCGCATTATTTGACGATCAAATCAAGGGCACATAAGAATCGAAGCAGAATATCCAAAACGCCTTTAAACAAGAAAAAAGAAGAGAAAAAGGAAAGGAAAATGACATACATAATTATTGGAGTAAGCAAGCTTTTTAAAAACCGCATTATATGTTGGTTCTACATTATTTTGCTGGTATGTTTGGTTTCAAAATTCAAAGTGTCCTTTTCGCCTGACGAGTGGTGCTACATTCATTTCTTATATTTACCTCAACTCAAATATTCACATGCTAATGTAACATTCACCTTATTTTATATTTAGAGGGTGTTTGGTTCACACATTTAAATCAGAATCAGAATGAGAATCAAATACTGATAATAATGGGTTTTGGTAAAATATTTTACATGTTTGGTACTTGGTAGTATGGTGAAATTGAAATGATTACTAATATTGATGTTTGGTTATATATGACCCTATAATGGAAATAAAAATTTTAAAAATACAAAAAAAAAAAAAAAAAAAAAAAAGGTAATTCATCTTAATATAAATATATAATGACATCTAAAGCACCAATAGTAACAAAAAAAAAAATCTAAAAGCACTAATCCAAACTTAAAAATCAGATTGCTAATAAGATGCAATGATATTCATTTTTAATTAGGAAATGAAGTTTTAAATTAAGATATTTATTTTGAGAGAAAAATAATATTTTTAAAATACAAAAATGGATTATTATATTAGAAAAATGAATATTACCTATTAAGAAGAATATTTGAAGAAAACAAAGACAATGGATAAAACAATATACTTTTTGGACTTGAGAACAATATTGAAATTTGAAAATATGCGACAAGAGGAGATATTTTCATCTCCTATTTCTGCTAATTTTTAAAATGAAAATTAAGAAAATAGAACATTTGTATGGGAGATATTAAAGAAGCTTGTAGTACATTTAGAGACTTTAGCTTTCATTACGCGAGACCGTCTGCGAATTAAGTTGTTCATTTAACTATATTGAATGACATGACATTTCTCTTATCTTTTTTCTTTAAAGTTACTGACTCTATTACATTTTAGCATCTGTTCATTTATACTTTCTTAACTTATTGAAGCACAAAGAGTTAACATCACCTCCATTGAGTCTTTATCTCATGATCTCCCATATAGAAGAGTCACTACATTCCTCCCATCTTTATTGTGAACCTTTTAAACAATGATTTAATGAATTAATTTTTTTCAAAAAAAAAAAACATTTTCACAAATTGCATATATAAATACAAAACTGTGTATTATTTAAACTTCTATTTTGTGGGTGTAAATTTAATTTAACATTTATTTTCCAAGACATGCAGTTGGCAAACGTGTCAGTAGCCGCCTAAGATTCCTTATCCTCACTAATTTAAATTAGACGGTTGATCCCCATTATTAAACCCCTAATATATTGCATAATAATTATAGAATTAGGTA